TCCCAGAGTGCCTACCACTGTCGCTGAGGGGCGCAGCCTTGGCCAGCAGTGGGTCCATATTGGAGCTGGCTGGCATTGGCTCTATCAAACACAGGGGAAGCTTGTAGAAGCTTCTCACAGAAGCCACTCCTGTGGGCCTCCCCTTGTAACCAAAATCTTGCCATGCAAACCCAGTACACCCGAATTTTAGTATATTAGGTGATACAGTATTAGATACTATATCTATAGCGAAGATCAGTCATTATGTGAAATTAATGTAATGAAATTAACACAGATTTCCTTTGTGGGATTGATCTACCTAATTTAGGGACAAGACTCAGTTGCATAGTCATCTAGGGTCATCTTTACCCTGAGAGATTACTCCAGCTTCAGCTGAGAAAAGGTACAGTGATACCTGTCAGCCCTATGAAAACATTTTGAGACAGAGACATACAAAATACTAGAACACAACATTAATAATGCAACTAAATCTTGCACTAGGTGGTAGTAAATTTATCTGTCATCATTGTAACTAGAAGTCTAAATTTTCATTCGGTCAGTGGAGATATGATCAATAATTAATGAAATTCAAAAAATGATTCGTCTGAAAAAATGTAGTAACTAATACAGTTGCTTGCAAGTACGAACTACATGTAATTTGAGATGCAGTAGATCATCCAGATGCACTCCACAAGGCTACAGGCATCCTCTAGGTTGTGTATCAAATCTTTCAATTTCATATGGAAGGCCCAGGTATTATCAGGAATACCAAATAGTACCAGTCTGGGAAACTGCAGTGAGTCCAAGGTAGACGTCTACTTTTTGATGAGACAAATGACTCCATAGACTCCACTGATGGCACTGACCAGGCTTCAGCTGACTATAACAGGCACTGAGACTACTACATGACTACCTCTACTGTAGATACCTAGATTGGGATTCAAGAAACTAGTGCAGCTTTGGATGATCTTGGGTAATTTATTGGCCTACAGCTGTCAAGTTAAGAAGATACGTGTCTTCTAAAGGTCTCGTATTATGTAGCAGCCTCACACAGATGTCTCTCATAAAATTGAGTGCCTTGGGCTCCAGGCATTTAATTTTAAGTATTTAACTACTCTACTAAAATTAAATGTGATGAATTCTTACTGTCTTAGTCTGAACTCCTGATTCTAGGTTGACTTTGTAGCTGTTGAAGAGAAATAATTATTTCCAGGACATATTCCATCTCATCCTTAAGTAGTTATATATTGTAGACAAGACAGAACAGATGAGTCACATTTTGGTGGTGCTTCTCCCTATCTACTTGAGGGCAAAGTGAATCTCAATGATTTTCTGAGATTTAGATATCTACATTGTGGATGCCTAAAGTTAGATGAACTGAATCCAAAGTCAGGTGTCCTGAATATTCAGCATAATATTAAAATTACCCTCTTGGTGCATAATGCAAATTGCTCCAACATTTCCTTCCAACATCATTACTGATAAAAAATAATGATAAAATATAATGAAATCATAATATAATAATACTGATAATATTTTTTTAACAATAGAAATTAAAAAATAAAATGCAAGCGCTCAAGAATTTGTCCTCCAGGGATTCTTCATTGTTCTCAAAGAGCTGCAAGTCCTACTTGTCATCACATTCATCACTGTGTACGTATTGACACTAGCAGAGAATATGGTCACTGTTACAATGATCTGTATTAGCTACTGGCTCCATACCCCTATATACTGCGTCTTCAGCAATCCCTCCTTTCTGGAGATGTGGTATATGACAGTTATTGTGCCTAAAATGCTTAGTGGCTTACTGACAGGATGCAAGATCAGCTCATTTGCAGGGTGCATGGCCCAGATCTACTTTTTCAATGCACTGGCCTGCACTGAGTGTCTGCTTCCAGCTGTCATGTCTTATGACTGCTTTCTGGCTATTTGCAGCCCCTTGCTCTGTCCAACCATCATGACCCACAAGCTATCTTAGTTGCTGGTTCTTGGATGGGAGGTTTTACCAGTTTCATACTCATTGATGAAGGTACTCTTCATTTCACGCTTGAATTTCTGTGACTCAATCACCAACCATTTCTTCTGTGATATATCATCCCTGCTCAACCTTGCCCACAAAGATACGTCAATGGTAGAGACAGTAGTTTTCATTCTGGCATTGATTATAGTTCTCATACCATTGCTTGTGGTGATGGCCTCTTACTTCTGCATAGCAGCTACTATAATGCGGATTCCCACAGCTCAGGGCAGGTGGAAATGTGTTTCAACCTGTGTTTCTCACATGGTAGTTGTTATATTTTACGCTACTGCTCTGTTTACCTATGCCCAGCCTAAGGCCATGGGTGTCTCTGATTCCAACAAGATGGTGTCAGTTCTATATGTAGTTGTAGTACCTTTCTGCAACACTGTCATTTACTCCCTGAGGAACCAAGATGTCAAAGAAGTACTAAGAAAAATAATAAATGGCAGAAATGTACTCAACAAGAGGAGTTCTGTGTCCTTAAGAGAAAGCACAACATAAATCAAATGTTGATGGCACTCACAGGTGCCTTCATAACAGGCTTTCAGGTTACCTTAGTATTGGATGGCTAGCAGATAAAGATATTTTAGATAACCTACAGCATCTGAAATGGCAGAAAATATTACTGGTTAGCTAGCTGAATTGCTCCCCTGAGTATTATCTCCTGAGATAAAATGAGTTAGTGAGTGAAAATACTCCCATCACATAAATTCTCCTTATTTCCTCTACAAGACACACTGTTTTAGCTGTTTTACACAGTCATTGCCTGGAGCTGTTTATGTCTGTTCATTGCTTCTACCGGGATGCTAGGATGATTACACTCCTAATTCCTTCCCCAGTTATGAGATTACATGAAGTGGAATAACTTGGAGCCACCCTCTTCTGTGCTAGAAGAGTGAGATTTATCTTTGCTATATTTATGCATCCAGAACTGAAATGTGTATAGCTAATACATGGGGATAGACTGTCTCTGAAGTCACTGACAGCAAATGGGAACCTCCAGGGCTACAGATCTGAGAGTAATGCCAGACGGAGCATACTGTGGAAGTGTTAGTTTCTCTCCATTGAATGCTGAAGGAAAATAAATCACAAACCAGCTTAAAACCTTTTTTTTAAGAAGACTAGTTTATTTTCACTTTAATATTTTTTGTTGATAAATTCTGTTGTTTGATAAATTCTGCTTGTTTGAATTACTCTTTCCAATGAATAAAATGGTAATTTTTCCTCTGTGTCTCAAACTTCAATTAAGTTCACAAGATAAGTAGTTAATACCAAACAGTTGAGCAGAGTATGAAGCAGTTCCAACCAACTTGTCCTACAAAATGCATACTGTAAATTCAATACACATCTACATTTATTTTTCCAACTTCTTAAAAAAACATGAGAATATAGTCAAATATTAAGAATGTAGATTTTTTTCTGAATTTTGAAAATCATACAATAGCATGAATATCTGTATATAGAAAATATTGGCAGACCCAATATCCTGGTCACTTGTACTCAGATAAAGTAACAACAAAAACAACAACAAAGGATGTGAGTCATCAGAATATTTTTAAATGGAGGAACAGTTCCTCACAGGCAGAGTTGTGCAAGTCTAAGTCACTCATGGGGGCTGTCTCTGGAGTGGCTGTGGGAGAAGAACATGCTCCTGTGAAATGATACATTTTATTCTAACAGAAGTATGTAAGGATGACTCTACATTATCAATAACCAAGTTGTGATTCCCAACTGTGACCCCAAGTCACTGCATGTATGTTTATTCATATCTGGACAATCTTTTGGAATGATCTAAACATTTCCACATCTAGGGATAATATATTTAAAAGCTATTTCCTTTTAGGCAATATGAATGAAAATGTGCTGGTTTGGTTACCACTATACTGGAATGAATTCCAGCCCTATTACAGGAGATTTGAGACCCTCAAACGTCCCTACATGCAATGTGTACTACTCATCTCATGCTATAACAAATAATATACTGGTTGGATGAAACACAATTCTGTAATTATTTCAGACAACTTGAGGTGGGTGAAAAGAAAAATAATACTAAGGAAGGACTTTTTCTGAGATTTTCAGGGCATCAGAGAGGTTTAAGAGGAGATCTAGACAAAGCGTTTCCAAAGAAGGGCAATGAGCTGGTAAAGGGGCTAGAACACACATCTTACGAGGGCCAACTGAGGCAACAGTAGTTGTTCAGTCTGGAGAAAAGGAGGCTGAGGGGAGACCTTATTGCTCTTTATAACTACCTGAAAGGAGGTTGCAGTGAGGTGGGTGTCGGTCTCTTCTCCCAAGTAACAGCCAATAGGACAAGGGGAGATGGCCTCAAGTTGCACCAGGGGAGGTTTAGGCTGGATATTAGGAAAAGTTTCTGTACTGAAAGTGTTGTCAAGCTTTGAAACAGGCTTCTCAGAGAAGTGGTTGAGACATCATCCCTGGAGGTATTTTAAAGACCTACAGAAGCGAAGCTTAGGGACATGGTTTAGTTGTGGAACTGACAGTGTTAGGTTAACGGTTGGACTCGATGATCTTGACAGTCTCGTCCAGCCTAAATGATTCTATGATTCTATACTTGTCCTGGACATTTCATTCCAAGGGGGATTAGTCTCAAGCAAAATGAATGCAAATGCCTCTTCACCCTTTGGCTTGTTTTTCAGGAATCAATACCTTTAGCAGTGCAGAATCATAGAATAATAGTTTGGAAAAGACCTCTAAGATGATCGAGTCCAACCACCCACCCAACATCACCATTCCTACTAATACCACCATTCCTAGTAGTACCTAATCAAGAGCAGAATGAATGACCTATGAAGATATTAATATCTCAATGCTGACACATAAGATCAGTGACTAAACTTTTATCTAGGCAGCTCAGCTAAGCTTCTGAAGTTAGGAAAATCTGTAGTCAGCGTTGGAATTAATCTCATCCAGCACTAAAAGTACCTAACAGCTATCTCCATTTCAGCTAGTTGTACAAAATTGTTTTGTAGTGGGTCCTTCCTTTCCAGAGCATAATTCAAGTGATTTGTATCTTAATGGTTTTCTTTTAGGATAAGATAAATCCCACCCAATGCTTACTTCTCTCCACTGTTTTAGTTGAGAGAACTAGCTTGTGCAGGTACAAGCTGACAGATCCTTAAATGCGTAGTAACGAATATTTTCCTTGTCATACCTGCAGTGTCAGGAAAGACAAATCCTACCAATGGAGTGTGAAGCCCCAAATCCCTTTTTACCTGATGAGGGAGACAGATTATTTTTATACGCCTCATGTTGATTATAAAAGAAGCCTTTCAGAAGTATCTGTTTTATAAGCAGTTGTACAACTTGTTCAGCCATTTCATCAAGCTTTAGTCACAAAACTTTGAAAAAATAATTCATCAAAACCAGGAATGCTGCTTGCTTAATCTATTTTTGGCTACAGAAAGATTACTAGACTTTCTGTTTTCAGGGTCAAGGTTTTTTTTTTTTTAATCATAATGATAAACACTATTCCTAGGGTAGGGAAGAGAGAAGGAGCAATTTGTTTCTTTGATTGGTCCCTTTGGAAGAACAGACCACAAGCACAGATGAATTCTTCAGTATTAGAAGAAATACTAAACAGATGTCACAGCACAGTCTCTCTGAACTTCAAACAGTCCCTTCAACGTTGGTACAAGGACTCAAATTTGTAAGTGAAATAGAAGAATTTACTAATGTAGCATTTCTTATAAGTATTAATAACACTTTCTTTGAGTCTGCTGAGAAGTATATTGGCTAATGAAGTTAGTAAAAAGAAACTACGACAGAAAAGACGGGGTTTGAGCTAAATCTTTTTCTTCTTGGTGAGAAGCCACACAGTAAATCTTGTTTCTCACAGAACATCTGTGAATTTTCGTGCAAAGAAAAAAGAGTGAAGCCGTATCTTTTAACTGAACATACTTTTTGACAGTTTCCCTTCCCTTCCCTCCCCTTCCCTTCCCCTCTGAAATATAATGAATCATTCAAACAGCTTTGAGAAAAAGGACCTGCATTACGAAAGACACTATTGCAGGCCTCTATAGTTAGGCATTCAAGAACTAAGTGTATTTTTAATATTAATATGGTAGACTACAAAAAGAAAGAGTTTTGAAATATTTTTCAAGAAATTATTCATGGTATTAATTGTATGATTTTATTTCATTAACAAAAAATTTGTGCTTCAAAGCCTTTACAAATTAAACATCAAAGTTTGGGAAATCCCACCCTGGCTTTCCTATAGTTAATAGAGAAAAACACGAAAGAACCTCAAGGTTGTTTATCCAGATACATAACATGTCATCTGAATTTCACTTTGCCGATGTCTCTTTTTCCTCATTGATTAGACACCAGTGATGTGATTCAGCTGTCAGATTAAGGTTTCTTATTTTTTGTGTCTACACATAGAAGGGTGAGATAGGAGTTAAGATTCAATTGCCTAAGAGTAGGTGTCTAGTATCCCTTGAGATATCCTACAGGATATCCTCCAAATATTGTTTCAGAAGGCCATGTTCCAACTGATGAGGCATATATTGGATAGCCTAGTCTATCTAAAATGACAGTAAATAGCTATATTTAGACAACTGAATCAGTCTGTAAGTCGCTGAACTTCTACTGTTAGTGAACAAGATTATATTGGTATTCACAAGAAAGTCAGGATACCAATTTAATGTAACAAATGGACTTGAACAATTTGTCGACTTTTGAGATGCCCAGAAATATCTTGCCCAGCCTCCAGCTGTCATTTCAGAAGGGTGGAGGTTCATATAGATCCTGTGTTATGTTTATCTGAAATTAATTTATAATTCCAGGGCCACATGGTATCTCAACTGGTAGTAGGAAACCATTTATGGGCAAGTGAGTCAATCCTTCAACACATGATGCAATTGCCTGAAACAAGACTTAGCTCTTAGCTATCCCACCTGACCTCCAGCTGCTATTCCAGAAGTGCACAGGGCTACTGCAAATCTTGTGTCATGTCCTTCATACCCATTTGGAAAGCTCAGATATCCTGGAGTTTCTTAAGTGGTACTACATATCTATGTGTATCCAACTGAATCTTGCCCTTATCATAGGAAAGAGGACTCCAACATTCATTAGTTATTCAGGCTTGAACCCTGCTTACACAAGAACTGGAATGTCTTACAGAAATGGGAACAAGCTGGCAAATTTATCAAAATTCTCTGAAAACGTGAGACAATGTAGGGATTTTTCAAATTTGGTTTTGGATTAGACCACATATTCTGGGCTCATGGGCTATAGGACAGAAAAGCTTTATCTATTGTGAATTATTTTCTAGCAACTCTGTTCACAAATTCACAAATAAATTTATCGTACAATTTAGAAAGTTTCTGGACATAATAACAGATAATTCTGTCTAGGTCAAGGAGAAGTTAGACATTATGCCAGTGGGAGAATGCAGAATTATTGTTATTTTGTTCTAAATACCATGTCTTTGAATACTTTCATAATTAGTAAAACTGGCATTTGCAGCAGTAGCAAGACTA